TAATAATAATAATAAATAATAAAAATAATAACAATAATAATAATAAATAATAATGAGTAATCTCCAGAAATAACTTCTGAAAATATGAATGGATTCCGAGCACCAAACATATGCAATGAATTCTCAATATAGGAAATGAATTCCAAAACGAATGATTCTAGCCTAAGGAGTATGATGAAACAAAAGGATTTACTTCGGGAATGAATCCGAAAAGGATGTTTTTGTTGTGCACATCTCTACCTGGCTGTCCATCCTTCATCATAGAGAATGTGAATTATTAGTGGCAGACCTGTCAGGGTCATCCTTGCTCTGTGATTTCCTCCTGTCATTTCTGGTTGTTGTCATTAGGAGGACTGGGATGACAGAGGATCAGCCCAGCGCCCCTATTGTCGGCCTGTCCCCATAGACGGTGTCGGTGACCTGACTACCGATCTGGTGCATTGCGTCAAGTCTCGGATCGCGTCTTAGTACATGGCGCCCACAGACAGCGGGGGACAGGCTCGCCCTGCCGGGTCACCTCCGGGGACGGGGATTGGGCTGGGATCAGGGACTAGGAGGACATCGCATGAACTCTACACACTGCAGGGACCGCACACCGTCCCCGGGGACTCCCAATGACATGGACTGCTGAAACTACATGGAGAGATCCCTGTGAGCTCAATGAGCGATCTAATTATCTCCGGCACTGTGCGGCAGGGCCAGCCATGGATGGAGGGGGGTCAGGGATTCCTCATTCCTATGGAAACAGGTATTGTCAGGGAGGGGAGGGGGGCAGTGTATGGACGTGGGGGAGGGGGGGGGGGGGGAGGGGGGGGCAGCACACATGACGCAGGAGAGCCGGGGACCACCTCATCCCCTAGCCCCACCAGGGTTAATAATGACAGCTTTGAGCCGATGACATCATCCATCGGACGTCAGCCCCCAGGGGGTGGGCTTAAAGGATGCTGGGCGGGGCCTGAGCTGGGATTGACAGCCGTTGCCATTTTCTGTCCCTTACATATGCTTAATGAGGGTCTGGTCTGGAGGAGAAAGCAAGACTGACAACGACAAGGGTCGGGGAACACTCCGGGTATAATGCGAATATTCAGAAGAATAAGTAATAGAATAAACCCCATGAGAACAAACAGAAGGTGCTGCTTACTGTTCACACTGCGCTCACTACAACGTGCATGATGAGTGCTGACAGTTACCATGTCCTCACAAGTGTCTGCGGAAGATGGAAGCCATGCTGCTGTGACAGCTGCTGGGTCAGATACCAGGTCGGAGTTGCAGTGGTAGGCAGTGATCAATAGGCACTGATCGGTTGTCAGTAATCTGTAGGCAGTGATCAGTAGTCAGCAATCGTAGTCAGTAGACAGTGATCACTAATTGGTAATGAGAATGCACTGATCGTTGTCAGTAATCTGTAGGCAGTGATCAGTAGTCAGCAATCGGTAGTAATCAGTAGTCAGTAGACACTCAGTGATCACTAGTCAGTAATCAGCAGGCAATGATCGATTGTCAGTGATCTGTAGGCAGTGATCATAGGGAAGTGATAAGAAGGAAGTGATCAGTAGGCAGTAATCGGTAGTCATTGATCAGTAGTCAGTAGACAGTGATCACTAGTTGGTAATGAGAAGGCAGTGATCGGTTGTCAGTAATCTGTAGGCAGTGATCAATAGGCAGTAATCGGTAGTCAGTGGTCACTGATCAGTAGACAGTGATCACTAATCAGAAATCAGTAGGCAGTAATCAGAAGTCAGTGATCAGTAGTCAGTAGACCGTGATCACTAGTCAGTAATCAGTAGGTAGTGATCAATAGTCAGTAGGCAAGCATTGATCAGTAATCAGTAGGCAGTAGTCGGTAGGCAGTCATTAGACAGTGATCAGTAGTCAGTGATCAGTAGTCGGTAGGCAGTAGGCATTGGTTCAGTAGTCATTAATCAATAGGCAGGCAGTAGGCAGTGATCAGTAGTCGGTAGGCAGCCAGTAGGCAGTGATCAGTAGTAGGTAGGCAGCCAGTAGGCAGTGATCATTAGTAGGTAGGCAGCCAGTAGGCAGTGATCAGTAGCCGGTAGGCAGTCATTAGGTAGTGATCATTAGTGATCAGCAGGCAGTAGTCAGTCAGTAGGCAGTGATCAGTCAGTGATCGGTAGGCAGTTATCAGGCAGTGATCAGTAGTCAACGATCAGTAGGCAGTAGTCGGTAGGCAGTGATCTGTAGTCAATAAGCATTGATCAGTAGGCAGTAGCCGTCAGGCAGTCAGTAGGCATTGATCAGTAGCAGTCAGTAGGCATTGATCAGTAGTCAGTAGGCATTGATAAGTGGGCAGAAGTAGTCAGTAGGCATTGATCAGTAGTAGTCAGTAGGCATCAGTAGGCATTCAGTATCAGTAAGTAGGCACTGATCAGTAGTCAGTCAGTAGGCATTGATAGTAGTCAGTAGGCATTGATCAGTAGTCAGTAGTCAGTCAGTACGCACTGATCAGTAGTCAGTAGGCATTGATCAGTAGTCGGTCAGTAGGCATTGATCAGTAGTCAGGCATTGATCAGTAGGCAGTCAGTAGGCATTGATCAGTAGTTGATCAGTAGTCAGTGGGCATTGATCAGTAGTCAGTAGTCAGTCAGTACGCACTGATCAGTAGCCAGTCAGTAGGCATTGATCAGTAGTCGGTCAGTATGCATTGATCAGTAGTCAGTGGGCATTGATCAGTAGGCAGTCAGTAGGCATTGATCAGTAGTCAGTGGGCATTGATCAGTAGTCAGTGGGCATTGATCAGTAGGCAGTCAGTAGGCATTGATCAGTAGTCAGTGGGCATTGATCAGTAGTCAGTAGGCAGTCATTAGATCATCAGTAGTCAGTAGGCATCGTCATAGTCAGTGGGCATCGATCAGTAGTCAGTAGGCATCGATCAGTATCATCAGTAGTCAGTGGGCATCGATCAGTAGTCAGTGGGGCATCGGTCAGTAGGGGCATCGATCAGTAGTCAGTGGGCATTGATCAGTAGTCAGTGGGCATTGATCAGTAGGCATCGTAGGCATCAGTAGTCAGTGGGCATTGATCAGTAGTCAGTCGGTAGGCATCATCGATCAGTAGTCAGTGGGCATGGGCATCATCGATCAGTAGTCAGTGGGCATTGATCAGTGGGCATTGATCAGTAGTCAGTCAGTGGGCATCGATCAGCAGTGAGTGAGTAGGCAGTGCGGTGGGTGTGTAGCTGACCCCCAGGAGGTGTGTCCCCGCACACACAATCTTATGAATGAAATTCCAGCGCCCTGCGCAGCGACTCGTTATTATTCCGCTCACAGCCCCCTTCTGATTCACAGACTCGGGAGCCGATCATGAATATCAGCGACCACTTTGACGTCAGAGCTGAGATTTCTCAGCAGACCCAATGGGGCAAGAATATTAAGTGCAAGTCAAAGGCAGAGCTCTGTCAGCAGCGGCATTAGCAATGGTAACCGAGGAGTGAGAGTGATCAGGGAGGACTGGCAGCACCAAGACAAGGAGGACCACCGAGCTGGACAGACCCGGAGGGAGGTAAGAACATGACATGTCTGCTGGGCTGAGGGTCTGCCTATAGGGCACAGCACACTGCCATGGGGGCTCCTCATTGGGTTAGATCATTGATGGAAATAGAAATCTGCTTTATTTGGAGATAATCCAGGTGAGGGAAGGCACTTATTTTTAGCACTATCCTGCTATTAATAGTTATTGTCATGACTGTGTAGAACAACAGGTATTGATATAATAGAGCACACACATTCACTCTTCTTTACAAACATAAATAGGCACCTAGTAATAGATTTGTGGTATGACATTTCCATGCACATTTTAGAGCTGTATGATACAAGTAGTTCCTATGCAGCGCTATGCATCCATAGTACACGGCGTATGACGTAGGTAGCCCTAGCCTTGCCACTCTGATATGAAGCAGGGCTGAGCATGCTGCCTAGCAGTGCATTGATGTTGCACATTAGGAGCTGCAGTGCAGGCCCCTCCAGGAGAGAGTCATCTTCTGTGCAGTCTTATGTCAGTTGTAGTCAGTGCAATAAAAAGGACCAGACAAATGTATTTTTCTTGAGATTTATATGAAATCCTTCATGTGGTCACAGCTCACATCATATGTAGGCTCAAGGTATGGCAGCAGCTGTTCCAAGAAGCAGGTTAAACGCAGAGGGTGTCCTGCGATAGCAGGCTGCAGAGCGTGGAACGGCGGCGTTAATGATCTGTCTCCAGCACAAGGAGATGTATATATCACAGCCTTACCTTAGAGAAATCCTTTATGATCAGTCTAATCCACACAACAAATAGATAGTAGCCATCCTAGGTGCTGGGTAAACACATGGATATATCCAGGGATGGGAGATTTTAGCTGGGAAGGTTGCGCCGTAGCTTATCCTGGGATCTATTGTTATTAAGATAAATATATCCTATCGTTTTCAGCTTTCACAAGCAGGCGAAGCACAGGCATAAACTGTGTAATCATCTCTGTAGGAACAGACATGCACAGAAAACCTCTTTTTCAGCTCACCTTGGCTGGGGAGGAAGGAGACTGCTAGCACAAAGGGACCCAGAACCTGCAAGATCCAGATCTTTTATACACCGCACATGTGGCCTGACCACTTTACATCTGAAAGGCAAAAACAGAAAGCTGAAAATACGTCTAGAAAAAGTAGGATTTTACCCTCAGAAGAGGGCAGTGTTGATTCTCATTGGCAGCTGATGGGTCAAGTTCTATACATTGAGTAGACATGAATGAAAATCGTACCCATATATTCTCTTTGTAGTTAGCTGTTTTCTAGAATGAGTCTTATTTTCCGTTAATAATGACATAAAATCATTAGGCCGTGACACCCTGTAGTAGAATCATTTTCAGTGATTAGCACACCAAAGCTACACTCTACAATGTATGCATATAAAATGTGACATTGAGGGTTCCATCTCTGTGTCTCTGGATGGTGGCCCTCTCTTATCACTTTTCTTTCTCTTTCTCTTTCCATCTGCTTTGATGTGCAGAAATGCTTCACCAGCCTGCGGCTGCAGCCATGGATCAACTGCTGTATTTCCACAATGCTTCCTCTGGGAGGATGTCCCAGCACCACTACGACCCATGGGACACCAACACCTCCACTGTTACCACATCCGACCTGTCTCCAGATGAGACTGTCAATCCGTGGGACATTATTCTCTGTGTAACAGGAACCATCATGGCATGTGAAAACGCAATTGTGATAGCTATACTCTTCTATACACCCACACTTCGTGCCCCCATGTTTATACTCATCGGCAGCCTGGCACTGGCAGATCTATTTGCTGGTGTGGGACTTATTGTGAATTTTGTAGTCCTATATGTGTTTAATAGTGAAGTGGCCACACTGAGCTCTGCAGGGCTGCTATTAGCTGCTTTCTCAGCCTCTGTCTGCAGCCTTCTAGCTATCACAGTGGACAGATACCTGTCTCTATACAATGCCCTTACCTACCACACAGAGAGAACACTGACTTTCACCTACATAATGCTAATTCTGCTGTGGGCCCTGTGTATCTGCATTGGTTTATTACCCATCATGGGCTGGAACTGTGTTAGAGAACAGTCCTCCTGCAGTGTCCTGAGACCGGTGACCAAAAACAATGCAGCTGTATTGGCAGTGACCTTCCTCCTTCTCTTCGCCCTGATGATGCAACTCTACCTGCAAATATGCAGGATCGCTTTCCGCCATGCCCAGCAGATTGCAGTGCAGCACCAGTTTATGGCCACATCTCAGGCCTCCAGCACCAGGAAGGGAGTTTCAACCTTGTCTCTCATTTTGGGTACTTTTGCACTTTGCTGGATTCCCTTTGCGGTGTATTCATTGGTCGCTGACTCAAGTTACCCTATGATATACACGTACTCACTGGTTCTGCCAGCCACTTTCAATTCAGTCATCAACCCCATTATTTATGCTTTCAGAAACCCAGACATACAGAAATCTCTATGGCTTGCCTGCTGTGGTTGTATCCCACCCAGGTTCCTATCTGGTCCTAGAACTTCCAGTGATGTATAGGGACCGAAAGAGTACTTTGGAGACTGATTGTGCCAAGCTGGGAAGGAGGAAAAAAAAAGATGTCAAATTGTTGCTTTATTTTTTACAGTTTATATAGATGTATTGCTTTAGATTGTCAATGGAAAATGCAAAGATGCACTTACTGTTTTAACTATTCAAATGGTTTTCCAGATGCCCATAGGAACATTAGCTAAATATCCAGTTTTGCTTATGGAGATAAACTTTGGCCCTCACCATTCTTCCTATTAAGCTGAATGCTATGGGAATGCAATCATCTAGAAGAACCTCTAAGTCTATTGTCCAGTCTACCCTACTCAGTGGCATCAGGAGCAATTCATACAACACCTCCTGCTATCACTTTAAATTCAGTTATTGAACTCTGCAATTATTCAAAATGGTGAATCAGTAATATAAGCTACAAATAATTGGTCCTCTTTTTAGCGGTCTGACATGGTTACAAACATTTGTGAGCCGTTCATGTGAGCTCCTAGGGTTAAAATAATTGACCTATAAAGTATTTTATAACTGGAGTCAAATATGTGACATAATCCTCAGCAACCATCCAAGTACTGAAAAGGTAATAGCTGCAGTCTGGTTTGTAAACTATGTTTACTTGCAACAGTATTAATAATGTAGCTTCTTTGATTTTGAGTTGCACCTTTTAACATGAATTGTGAGACTATTCAGCTTAAAAGAAAAAATGGAATATAATTGTTTTTACAGACTCCTTTTGGAAAAAAAATGTTTGCATGTATAGCTGTTCAGCATTGGTTACAAAGACAGACATATCCACTCTGCTTCCAGTGCCAGCTTAGATTGTTGTCAAAAGAACTTCCTTAAACACCTCCCTAAGCACATTATTGCCCGAAACACTAATATCATATTGGAGATGTATACTGAATAAGCATTATTTAAATAACCAGCAGACATAATAACACAAGAATTTGCAGGCAGCAGAGCAATTCATAATATACAGAGTATGAAAAATCCAATACCGGCACACACATTGATACATCCCTGTATTTATTTTTCTGTGCAGTGTGCTTGTTATCCGTCATCCCAAGGGGAAGGAAGTTAACTAGAGACAGAATTGTTCTTTGGGTTTACTTTACAGACAGTTAAGCACCCCACAGATGTACAGAAGGGGGCTTCTCCTTAGTGGGAAAGATCCCATTTTATTAATTGGCCATCCTTCAAGAAGAGCAGATTTGGCAGATTTACGCAGCCCTAGTGAATGCTGACTATCCGTAATTTTCAAAAAAGTATTGATGTGGTCATTCAAAACAGAACTAAACCCATCAATTTAACGGTTTGAAAAAATCAGTTATATTTCCAGCTTGCTGGGATTGGTAACTGTCACATTTGCTTGTGCTCTCAACCAAACTGTCAAACCATCAAATGACTGGTCTCATAACTGATCACATGTGCAGCCCCATGGCAGCTGAAGATCAAACAGAAACTTAAATGGCAGCTTTTTTTGCTGGAAAGGATAGAAGGGTTTAGTTCCACTTTAAGAGCAGCAAACATATAGGCCAACTGCCATCTTATCTAAATGATATATAGATATTTATTTCTATAGATTACTACCAGGCAGGACAGTCATCAACATCACAATGTGGTGGTCTCAAACAAGTTTTATCTGCAAAAATCTTACACTGGTACTTGTGGACACTTTGAGCCATGTAAAAAAATATCACTTACCCAAAACCCTCTATATCATCTCCAGTTTTGATAAAATCGAAAGTTTTGCACGGTAATCCATGAATATTAATAATTGGTCTTTTACAAAAAAAAACAAATTATATTGTATTTTTATTTTATATTTATTATTTTTATTTTATATTTATTTCACAGAATCAAGGTGTCCAAACTGCTATGAACCCTCTTTATTCCTCTCTTTCCATACAAATTTCAATATTTTCAGTAAACATCAATTTCTCTGTATCTCCTTCATTTTAATAACGTTTATTCCAAATATGTTAAGAAGTGGTGCGAAGAGAGTTTTCATGGATTACTGAACTCAGAGCCGTTCCTAATATCTGTGGCACCTTGTGCTGAATGTGTATCTATAGCCCAAATTGTTTTTCTGATGTAAATAGCATGGAGAAGGATTTGAACATCTTTCAGGGTTTTTACTGATACCAGGGGCTCAGTGAAACACATTTGTCACTCTTCCGTTCCAGGGGATAACCTTTTCACCAGACAGGAAGTGAAGGACACTCACTCCCAGCAACACAGATAGAAGTACAAATGTAGTGGGATGCTAGAACCACTGTCAGCTTTACTGTTGTCTGTTTTTCTGTTGTAGATTTTTCATCACTTCCTGTCTGGTAAAACATCCCCAAAACAGGGAGCGAAGAGAAATCTCTTTAAGGAACCCTTCCCCACTTTATCTGCAGCTAAGAAAAAGTTTTGGCTATAGATTTTAGCTATGGTAGCTCAAGTCTTGCTCATTGTCCATGTTAATACTGCCACTCAGGGGCGGACTGACAACTCATGGGGCCCCCGGGCAATAGGGGATCATGGGGCCCCTGTGTCCTTGCCCAAACTCAAAAAAGCCTATGAAAAAGGTACCAGGGGCATCTCATGGGGCCCCCTACTGACCCCGGGCCCTCGGGCAGTGCCCGAGTTTCCAAATGGTCAGTCCGCCCCTGCTGCCACTGTATATACATCACAATCCTTGCAGCTTTTTATTAATCCTCCTTAAGGTAAATGGCATTTGTGCCAAATGTTCCCTCCTTGTTTGGAGGGTGATGCATTGCAGTACTAAAGCTGGCCATACATTATTCAATTTTCTTGTTCAATTTCCTTTAGATTTACGTTCAACTATGTACTGCAAGAGCCTGTCTGATTGCATACAAATTGAAAGTGTTTAGGTTTGACCTCATATTATATGGCTTTGGTAAATCTAAAGGAAAATTGTACAAGAAAATGGTATAATGTATGGTCAGCCTTAAAGTGGAACTAAACTCATCAATTTAGTCATTCCACAAAAATAGTTATACTCAAGTCCTGCCGTGAATGATAACTGTCACAGTTGCTTGTGCTCTCATTGTTAAGCCATCGATGGCTGATGTAATAAACTAATCACATGTGTGGCATCATGGCAACTGCAGATCAAACACAGGCTAAGATGGCAGCCTCATTAGTTATCAAGGATAGGATGGTTTAGTTCTGCATTTAAGCTTGAAAAATGAAAGATGAAAGCTGATTGGTTGCCATGCACAGTTGCTTCAGATTCTGGCTGCTCCTGTCTTCAAAATTTAACCTGTTTGTATTTTTTGAGTATTGCTTTGCTTTGCGGGAGGGTTGTACATTTCTGCAGTGATTGACACTCAGACATTCAGGCTTGACAGGTTTCCTAGGTAGTAAGATAGTTTTAACGAAGCTGATAGGATGTTTAGAGAAAGGTTGTAATGGAGTTTCTGGTCCGGTTGAAGATCTGAAGGCTTATGAGATGTTCCTGACCTCTTAGTCACCCCACATCTATAAAGATGATTGCAATATGCTATGCAGTACAATGAAAACTTTTTTATGTTGCACATTGATTAAAAAAATTATTTTTGATTGCTATCAATAGTTTGCTTACCAAACTCATGTGGCAATTTAAATGGAATATTATAGTGAATATTTTCTGTTTACTGAATTCAGTAGCTTTTGCATTACCTTGATGGTATTTCATTTAATTATAGTGCCTCCAAAAGAACTTTCTAATATTCTGTCTCCCCATTGCTACTGCTATTTATGATGTTGGCTTTACATCTCAAAAATGTTAATTGATTACTCACCACTGCAAGTTCAGCAGTCAAGAAGGCTTGCTTTATAAAGCTAAGAGTATCATTCACAGCCAAACAGTTGCTTACAAGGCTGCAAAAATCAGCCCACTAGTCGCGTTAGTATTTACTACAAACCTAACAAACAGCTAAAAACTAAATTAGTCTAAAATATCTATCTAAAATAACAATAGGGAACAAAATATTATTTCATGATCCCCATTATTCTATATTATTTTTTCTGCCAGGATTATTTTTATTTAATTCAAGGACTAAAACTGTGTTTTGTTCAGAATTTTATATAACAATCTTGGGTAGTATTAACGTAAGGAAGTTTTGTTCCCAGATTTCAGTTGAATAAATATCATTGTCATTGGTCTCAACAAGCTTCTGTAGCTGGAGAGGGGCCTTAGGCTACATGCACATGAACGTTTGCCGGCATAAAATTTCCAGCATTGTTCCATGCCAAAGGTACCAGAAGTGAGCAACAGCTGACCATAGAAGTGAATGGCTGTATGCCCCATAGTTTCACAATCAGGAAGCATGCTGTGTGCACATATGTGGGTTAACACCAATTGGCAGAAGCATCAGCATTTATATAAGTACAGGGACATACATCCATTCACTTCTATGGCCAGCTGTATGCCCCATTTGGTGTGGGAGGATGGTGGGATATTTATGCCAGGCATATTTTGATTAGCAAATGTCTATGTGCATGAGGCCTAAGTTGTAGAGCAAGCATTGTTTGGGTCAAAAATTCTGAGCATCTAACTGTACTTGTGTATGGAGCTGGATGAATACAAACTGAGAATAATTAAGAGAGAAATGCACAAAGTAACCTATCAGAATTCATCCTTTGCTGACCTGTCTTATGAAAGCGTGACGTGGTAATGATGATGGCATGTAAGGCAGAGTTTTCCATGAATACTGTAGTTTGGCCAGTCAAGCACTGATCTCTAATAGTTTGCTATGGGTTACTGCAGTTTACACATCATGATTTTTTTAAGATTATGTTTCTTTTCTTCTCCAAATTAACAAAATACCCTTGCTGATTATTACATTTGTAGAAGCATAAAACCAGCGCACAATCATAGATGGTGGTCACTCCTGATTTGCAGAAAATAGAGAAAAAGGAGATCTGAAGAGTGGGGTCAATTCTGATAAGTAGCTAAAACACTTTGGGGTAGTAGTGCCCCCTCAATATACTCATGAGAACAGAGGCTTTTG